TCAAGAGGCAGGTGGACACCAGGGAGCCTTTCCTGTGGGACCACGTTTCACGAGCACGTCCTGTGGCAGAACCAGCACCCGGAGCGCCGCCTCCCTGTCAGTCCACTGAGCTGCACCCTCCCATCCTGCAGGCTCTCCCGAGGCAGAGCCCAGGCGTTGAGGCTCGGTCTGTCAGCAACGAATGTTAAAGCTATAAAATGGGGATTCGGCCTGGCCGGTGTAGGTCAGTGGTTAGAGCATCGGCCCCCATCCCGAAGGGTCTTGGGTTTGAGTCCCAGTCAAGGGCATGTGTCTGGGTTGCAGGTTTGATCCCCTGTGAGTATGGGAGGCAGGCAAGTGATGTGTCTCTTTCAGGTGGATGTTTCTCTCCCTCCCTCCCTCCCACTCTCTCTAAAAGAGCAATGAAGAAAATATCCTTGGGTGAGGATTAACAAGAAAAGGCATGTGTGTGTGAATTTTACAATTTAAAGAATGACGACCCTGAGAGGTCTGTTCTGTGTTCAAAAGAACATCACTTGTAGATGTTAGAACCAGGCTCAGCTAAATTCCAGGGACCCAAAGCTTAGGAGTTCCCTCTCAGAACTGTTGGAATTGCACACAAAGAGGTGCAGATTATGAAAGGAGCCACTTTGGGCTAAACAATTAGAAAGAGCTTCTATTCTTTTTAGATGAAGAGGCCAAGCTTGGTGAGCAAAGGAAAGACTTGTGTTGCCACCACAACAGTCTAGCTTATTATTTATAAACTAGAGGCCCGGTGCACAAAAATTTGTGCTGGTGGGGTCCCTCAGCCCGGCCTGCGCCCATTCACAGTCCAGGACCCCTTGGGGGATGTCCACCTGTTGACTTAGGCCCACTCCCTGGAGGATCAGGCCTAAGCTTGCAGTCAGACATCCTTCTGGCAGCCAGGGAGCCCTTGGGGGATGTCCGACTAAAGGCTTAGGCCCCAAAGGGATCAGGTCTAAACCGTTAGTTGGACATTCTTAGTGCTGCCACGGAGGTGAGAGAGGCTCCTGCCACCACCACTGCGCTGGCCAGCCATGAGCCAACTTCTGGCTGAGTAGCACTCCCCATATGGAAGTGCACTGACCACCAGGGGGCAGCTCCTGCATTGAGCGTCTGCCCCCTGGTGGCCAGTGCGCATCACAGCAACCAGTCATTCTGCCGTTCAGTCAATGTGCATATTAGCCTTTTATTATTATTATACTAGTAGCCTGGTGCACAAAAATTTGTGCCCTTGGGGGGGGGGGGCCCTCAGTTATTAAACATTTATTGGCACAACACTGACCACATTGGTGGTGGTGGTGGTCTTGTCAGAATGTGTTATATTATGCAGATGAAAATCTATTTAAACAGATTTGATGTAGATATTTTCAAAGATGGAAGAATTGTCCCTGTCAACTATTTTAGTTGATTCATATCTTCACTAATTGTCATCATTGCAGTTTTCAGTCCCCATATGGATTGCTGGATATAATAGGTCATGCGCTGTCCCTGTCCTTTGTAGCCTTTGTTACCTTAAGGACTCTAGTTTTCCATTTATATAAGTACCAACCTTACTGGCTTAAAAATGTAAGCTTTTAACACTGCTCTCTCTGTTCCGTATCCTTCCGATGAAAAGTGGAGTTGGGTTGCAGCACAGGAGAGAAATTCAGAAGGGGAATATTGAAGTAATGACTGCAGTAGGAGAAGAGGTAACCTATTTCCTTGGCCACAGGCACTGGAGCCCTGGACCACAGGGCTGGCAGCTTCTCCAGGTGGCTGCAGCCTGGGACCTCAGGCAGGTGGCTTGTTCGTCTCCTGGGCTGCAGCCAGCTGCAGGCACTGGCGCCTGGACCAAAGGTGGGCGGCTTCTTCTTCTTCTGTGCTTCCAGGGAGGGCAGTCAGTTATGTGTATATGTGTGTGCATGTAAACATAGGCATGTACACGTGTATATGTGGAAATCTGCTGGGCAAGTCAAAACCATAGAAGAGTTGCCCCCTCTCTCCTGTGCTGCAACCCAACTCCACTTTTCATCTCTTGAATCTTCTAGAGATATCCCCCACTTTTTTATTCTATCACTACTGGAGAGTTAGTATTTGCAGCCAGCCAGTCAGTGACTCTCTCAGTGTCTATTTCTGACTTCTTTCCCTGTCTGTCTTCCAACCTCTAATCATATTTCCACCTGGATGCATCATTTTTACTCCGAATATGCTGTATAGAGAAGGAGTCAGGATGCTGTCTTCCCATGAATAGTACTCAGTAACAAAATAATTGCATTTTAGTTGGGCAATGCCCCTACCCACCCTTCAAATCCCTTCCACCATGCATTTCTGTTTCCCTTTTTGTTTGTTGGATTGTTCTGCTGCTCCTTCTCACCCCACCACCCTTGGATCATAATGTAAAATTCATTTACCATGTCAAGAAATTATTAAAAATACGGGTACTTTGAAAAAAAAAATATAGGTACTTCTCCAAACACTGGCCGGGGGGCGGGCAAAGGCGGCCCCGGTTCTCCGGTCACGGGCCGGGGCAGGGCAGAGGTGGCCCTGCCACCTGGCTCTTGCCTGCCACCTGGGTTTCCGATTACCATCAGCGGCAGGCAGCTTCTTCCGTCCTTCCCCTTTCACCTCCCAGCATTGTGCCTACGTATGCAAATTAACCACCATCTTTGTTGGCAGCTAATTTGCATATCTCGCTGATTAGCCAATGGGAAGCGTAGCGAAGGTATGGTCAATTACCATGTTTGTCTATTATTAGATAGGATAGGATGTCCCTATTTCCCTCCTTTTGCCCCCTCTACCCAGCTCTTGCTCCCCACTTCTCTCTGGCCATCACCATACTGTTGTCTATGTCCATGGGTTGTGCATATATTTTCTTTGGCTAATCCCTTCTTTAAATTCACTTCTTTAAATTTTTATTTTCAGATAAGTGCTTATAACTGCACTATTATATATTTTCTATTACATCATTTAGAATTAAGATATTTTTAAGAGAGATAGAATTAAGATATTTTTAAATTGAACCCTTGTAAATTTTAGCACAATTTAATAAATTATGCTAGAAGCAATTAGGAGATTTTTCATGTAATGCAGATACATTTCAATTAATATTTTATTTTTAATTTTCTAATATTTTAATTTGAAATAATCTCATACATGTAAAAAAAACTATAAAATACTACAGCATATTATATGTACCCCTCACCCAATTTCTTAGGTGTTAATAATTTAAACATAACCATTATACAACTAATAAAATTTGGAATATATTTTTCTTATAATCTCTTTAATGTTACTTAATCCATTTACTTTGTTTTTGTTAATCTTCACCCAAGGATATTTTTCCATTGAATTTTAGAGAGAGTGAAGGGAAAGGGAGAGACACATTGATTGGTTACCTCCTGCACATGCTCTGATAGGGACTGGGGATCAAGCCAGCAACTGAGGTACATGCCCTTGACTGGAATCTAACCTCGGACCCTTCAGTTCAAGGGCTAATGCTCTATCCACTGAGCAAAACAGGCTGCAGCTTAATTCATTGACTTTTAATCTATATGTGTCTTTATATTTAAAGTGGGTTTTGTTGCCCTAACCGGTTTGGCTCAGTGGATGGAGTGTCAGCCTGCGGACTGAAAGGTCCCAGGTTCGATTCCAGTCCAGGGCATGTACCTTGGTTGCAGGCACATCCCCAGTGGGAGGTGTGCAGGAGGCAGCTGATCAATGTTTCTCTCTCATCGATGTTTCTAACTCTCTATCCCTCTCCCTTCCTATCTGTCAAAAATCAATAAAATATATTTTAAAAAAAATAAATAAAGTGAGTTTGTTTTTGATTCACCCTCATAATCTTCCTTTTAATTGGTGCATTTATGCCACTGACTTTCAGAGTGCTTACTGATAGAGTGACTGCCATATCTGGCAGCTTCTGGGGCTTCCAGGGCGGCAGGCAGGCTTCCTGGGGCTTGCGGGGCCGGTGTGTCTGCGGCCCGGGACTGGATCGGGTCCCGAGCGGCAGGCAGGCAGGCGGCTTCTGGAGTCATCCACGGGGGCCTGGATGGTGGCTTGCGCTGGTGGCTCATGCGGTCCTGCCCTGACGGCAGTATGCAAATTAGCTGCCATCTTTGTTGGCGGTTAATTTGCATATCTCGCTGATTAGCCAATGGGAGGTGTAGCAAAGGTATGGTCAATTACCATGTTTGGCTATTATTAGATAGGATAGGACTAGAGGCCCGGTGCATGAAATTCGTGCTGGGGGTGTGTGTCCTTCAGCCTGGCCTGCGCCCTCTTGCAATCCGGGACCCCTTGGGTAGGGTCCCTAGGCCTGGCCAGCAATCAGGACCTTTCAGTACTTTCCTTCCCTGGCTGCTGGGCTGCTGGCAGCTGGCCCTACCCCTGCCGCTGCCATTGCTTGCCATCTGTGCTGTGCTGCCCCCCTCCCCTGCCACTTGTTGCCTCCCTCTGCGGGTGACAGGCATGGGGTGCAATGGCTTGGCTGGCCTGGGCCTCTCTCTTTGGAGCGACTGTGGAGGCCCACCCTCACCTCACCCCCCATCAATCATCCTGCTGGCTGGGGGCTGGGGCCTCCCTCTGCAGGGTGATTGTGGGGCAATGGTGGGGCCCCCAAACCAATCGCATTGCACCTGCTTTGGCTGGCCTGGCGCCAGTGCGTGTCATAGAGTGGTTGTCCGGAAGGTTGTCTGGACGGTCATTCTGCTGTTTGTTCATTCAGTCTATTTGCATATTATGCTTTTATTATTATAGATTACCCCATGTTTTCCTCTAGAACACTTTTTCCTAAAATGAAAATGCCTTTGTTTGTTGCAGTTTACGTAAATAATGCAGAAAAAATAAAATTAATTCAAAATTCTACCCCAAGAGTAAAAAAACAAACAAAACCTGCTATGATTTTAAGTATATCCCCCTTCAGACATCTATACATGCACACATTTTCTTTGTTCTGTTTTCTCTCCATTTATTTTACTGTTTTAGGTATATACATTTCAGAGAGGAAGCGAGAAAGAAGCATCTATGATGAGATAGAATCATGGATCGGCTGCCTCCTGCAGACCCCCCACTGGGGATGAAGCCCACCACCCCGGCATGTGCCCTGGAATCAAACTGTGACCTCCTAGTTCACAGAACAATGCTCAACCACTGAGCTACACCAGACAGGCTAGGTTTCTGATACGGATGTAAAACATGTAAATTTTCAGCTTTTATTCCTAATATGTGCATAAATGAGTACACATTTTTCACCATATGTTTTGGTATGTACTGTTATCATTTACTTCAAATTATTTTCTAACTTGAATTGTGATGTATTTTGGGGGTTATTTAGAAGTGTATTTGATAAATCTTAAATATTAGGAGTTTGTAGGTGCCTTCTGTTCCTGATTTGTAGATTAACTGCAATGACAACAAGAAACGTACTGTATATAATTTCATTTCTTTGAAGTTTGTTGAAACTTGCTTCATAGCACTTCGTGGTCTCATCAACTATAATTGAAGTGTGCCCCTCTGCTGCCACCTCGTGTGCAACTTGGGAATAACACCTTCGTGCCTTTCAGCAGGTAAGGTTGTTGGGTACAGTGGGTCTTAGAACATTGACTACAGTTTGCTGCTCAGATTGTTGAAGTTTTTACATCTTTACTGGGGTCTTTGTGGGGGGCTATTGGTTCTGAAAGAGGTATGCTCTGTCTCAGAATGAGAGAGGTGTGATATATGTATTATGGTTATAAATTTATTATGATTATAGAATTGTCTAGTTTCCCTTGTAGCTCTCTTCTCTGTACCTTGATTCCATGTTATGAAGTGCTTGGGAATTTGGATCTTCCTGGTAAAATGAAGTTATTGATCCGAAGTGATCTTCTTTAGTTATAGTTAAGCTTTTGCCTTTAAGACTTGTGTGTTATCGTATAATTTTTATTGGGTTTATGTTTGCTTAATATATCTTTTTCCATTCTTTCACTTTTGATCTCTTTGTACCCTTATGTTTTAGGTAGCTTTTAGTTTTTATAGTAGTTATGAGTGAAATGAGTTGCTTCTGTTTCAATATTTTTTTCCCATTCAGTTGTTCCAACACTGTTTTCCACTGCTCTAAGGAGATGTTGTTATCACACCAAATTTCCATATGTATTTTAGTTTATTACTTGGCTTTGCATTCTGTTCCATCAACTTTTTTATTCATAGGACATTACCCAAGTTTTTAAATTACTGTAGCTTTATAACACAATGTATTTTTCTATCTGGTCAGGGTAGCTGTTATTCATTCATTTGCTTTTTCAGATGTTTCCTTTATTATTTTCAAATATATTTGTATTGATTTCAGGGAGGAAGGGAGAGGGAAAGAGAGAGAGAAATATCCATGATGAGAGACGATCATGGATCAGCTACCTCCTGCATACCCCCTACTGGGGATCGAGCCCACAACCTGGGCATGTGTCCTGACCGGGAATTGAGCATGATTTCCCGGTTCATGGGTCAATGCTCACCACTGAGTCACACTGGCCAGGCTACCAGGAGTTTCTTGATACTAATATCTTACCCCTTCTTCCCATCCTATAGTTTTTGAGATCACCTAACAGAAATTAACATACCACATATCCTGCACTTTTCCTAAATATCACCCATTCACTTCCACAGTCTAAGACTCTGGTTCACCATTTTCCAACATTTCCTGTTTGTAATATTGCCTTTTTGTCTTTGGCTTTCATTTGTATGTGAGTTTTCCTTGGGCTTGTATTAGATGTAGTGCATCTCTTGTCAATTTGATCATGTTAATTTGGTTATTAGCCCAGCTGTTAGAATGTACGAGGTATGAGGCAAATAATTGCTTTTTAAATTTCCCACAGTTTTGAAGAGCCGGCCTTGTGTAATTATCGGCTGGGACACAGCTAACTTCTGACACCGCTGCAGCCGAGAGATCATGGATACCTGCCAGCAAAGGTAAGCAGTTTCATTACTTTTCCATTCTGTTAACCTTATGTGTGTGACACTGCAGGGTTTGGTAGGATTTTGAAAATCTGGAATTATTTTTTTCTCTTATACATTGACATTGGCATGAAAAAAACGTATTTGTGAAACTAGCTGCTTGGACTTAGAGTGACATGGGTTCTCTTTATTGAATCACGGGTTTTTGTGCAACATGAGGATCTGGTTCAGTTAATGCATCTGGCAACTGAGGTCTGGTGTGTGTGTCCAGCTCTGGGTTGTGGCTAATGTGTCTTAGTCATAGATCTCTGCTATATGTCCAGGGTCTGTGGTTTTGGGTCAAATATGTATTCAGGTGTGTGTCTGGGGTTTTGGGTGTCTTTGGGTATGGCTTTGTGTCCTGGGTTCTTGTGTGGGGTCCGAGTGCAACTATAGATTCAGATGCCGGTGTGTGGAATCTCTTCTTAAGAATCCTGTCAGTCTTTGGTATCAGTTTCTGGCTTTTGTGCTGCATAGCATGTTTGAGTCGGGGGAATCGTTTGAGTTTGAGTCCCAGGGTTAGGGCATCCAGGTTTTGGTGTGTGGTTCTCTATAGGGTCCAGGTTCTGGAGTGCAGGGTGTGTGTCTGGGGTCCTGATTATGGCTATGGCATCTAGTGTCTGTCCACTGATGGTCATTGCGTTGAATTCAACACTAATAATAGAGTTCCCAAGTTTATCGAGTTGTGGCTGGTTATGAAAGAGCTAGGAAAAGTTCTTGGCAAGTGGAATGGAAAATCTGAGACTCTAACAGGGCCTAGTAATTTATAGGCACAACTAATAAATCACAAAAACGTATCTTCCCTAACCTAGGATGCTTAGAAGCAAATGGGTTACACGTTCCAGACCATGTCTGGGCAGATCAACCTTGGTTCAGATCCCCTTCCAGTGACATTTTTTAAGATGAAACTGATCAGAGAATGACTCTTATCACTGTTTATGCTCTTTGTAATGCATCAGCATATCAAAGGACAGACTTGGAGAGTTGATAAATATTGTATTGAGATATTCCATTGAGACCTCCCTTAAAATTGTCACCTTTAAAAACCAGGTAAAACCTTTCCCTGGTCAGTTTGACTCAGTGGATAGAGCATCAGCTTGTGGACTGAAGGGTCCCAGGTTTGATTCCGGTCAAGGGCACGTACCTCGGTTTCAGGCTCCTCCCTGGCCCGGGCCCTGGTCGGGGCTTGTGCAGGAGGCAACCAATCAATGTGTTTCTCTCACATCAACATTTCTCTCTGTTTTTCCCTCTCTCTTCCATTCTCTCTAAAAAGCAATGAAAAAATATCCTTGGGTGAGGATTAAAAAACAAAATAAAACAAAACCAAAACCTTTGCCCTACCCATTGTGACTAACTTGGTTGAGCATCATCCCATGCATCAAAAGGTCACCTGTTCAATTCCAGGTCTGGATACATGCCCAGGTTGTGGGTTCAACAAAAGGCAACTGATGAATCTCACCGTTTGTGATTGATATACCTCTCACATGGATGTTTCTCTCTTTTTCCCTCTGTTTTCCTATCTCTGAAATCAATAAAACCGTATTTAAAAACCCAAATAAAGAAAACAGGTAAAACCCTTAAAACAAAGGTGTGCGTGGTTCCTCCTGTGTCTTCCCTTCTCTTATTTCCTGTTTTTACTTTGTTTCTTCTAAGCTCTAAAGGTCCCTGTCCCTGTGAGACTTGCAGTGGGGGAGCAGTGGGCAGTGGCACCTCGTCCGGGCTAGCTCCCTGAACTTGTCTCCAAGGGCCCCTTGATCTTGTCTCTTCTATTTTAATCCCTTCCTTTGTTTCACTCTGTGGATGAAAACAGGCCACTTGCTAACCTGACAAGGTTAGAGGTTATGAGAACCCAGGCTATAAGGTGAGACAGGAAAAATGGGTGCCTGGTTTTTAAATTTGGCTTTTCAATTTGAATTGTTTTCTGAGAGTTTGAACAAATGCCTTTGCTGTGTAAATGAGAGCTGAACTAGTTCAGCTCCTAAGATAAGGGGCACGTCCTCTCTCCAGCCTGAATTTCTCATGCTCTTAGGAAACTAAAAATCTTGGTGGAGGTGTCAGAGGTCATTCCTCATGACCTGTAAGGGCTCCACAGGGAACCTCCAACTCAGCTCTAATGAAGAAATTGACTCATCGAGGGACACGCATATAAAGGTTGGTCACCGAGTGCTCCCAGTCCTCACGGCTGTATTAGACAGCTGGGGAGAGAAACCGAGGCACAGAGAGGGTTGAATACCACTCAAGGGCCTCGAAGAGCTCAACCCATAAGCAGCACACTGTGACCCACTACATAGCCGCCCTAGAGAATTTTCTCAGACTGCCAATGTTCAAAAACCCCACTACAATTTACATGGGAAATTGTGCCTCCCAGACTGGAAACTCCCAGACCCCAGCCTTCACTAATACTCCTGATAGGAATCCTTTTACTGGCAAGCACTTTACAGAAATAAGGTGATTTCTCTAGAAATCTCATCTTAAAATGGCCATAATGCAGGGATCTTTGGGTGCCTAAATTAAAAAAAAATTAATACAAGTCCATGTAGGCAATAGTGGTTGCTTAATTTTTCATTATCATTGAAAATTTAGCTTTGCAAACACTAAAAATTCTCAGACATTAAATTACTGTAAATTAAAAAAAGATAAAATATGGACATGCATCCCTGGCCGTCATTGGTCAGTGGTTAGAGCATCAGCCTATGCACCAGAGGCTTGCAGGTTTGATTCACAGACAAGGGTACTTACCTGGGTTGCAGGTCTGATCCCATTCCCAGTTAGGGCATGTGTGGGAGGCAACCAGTAGATGTGTCTCTGTCACGTTGATGTTTCCTCTCTCCTACCTATTTCTCTCTCTTCTCCCCTTCCTCACTCCTCCCTTCCACTCTCTAAAAATCAATGGGAAAAATATTCTCACTCCTGGTGAGGATTAAGAAAATATGAAAATACATATTTAAGGAAAAAAGGTGAGTTACTCTTTTTTTTTAATTAAATCTTTATTGTTCAGATTATTAACATTTGTTCCTCTTTTCCCCCCATAACTCCTCTCCTCCCAGTTCCCACCCCACCCTCCGCCCTCACTCCCCACCCACTGTCCTCATCCATAGGTGCACGATTTTTGTCCAGTCTCTTCCCGCACCTCCCACACCCCTTTCCCCCCACAAGAATAGTCAGTCCATTCCCTTTCTATGCCCCTGATTCTATTATAATCAGCAGTTTATTCTGTTCATCAGATGATTTATTCACTTGATTCTTAGATTCACTTGTTGATAGATGCGTATTTGTTGTTCATAATTTGTATCTTTACCTTTTTCTTTCTCTTCTTAAAGGGTACCTTTCAGCATTTCATATAATACTGGTTTGGTGTTGATGAACTCCTTTAGCTTTTCCTTATCTGTGAAGCTCTTTATCTGACCTTCAATTCTGAATGATAGCTTTGCTGGATAAAGTAATCTTGGTTGTAGGTTCTTGGTATTCATCACTTTGAATATTTCTTGCCACTCCCTCTGGCCTGCAAAGTTTCTGTTGAGAAATCAGCTGACAGTCATATGGGTACTCCCTTGTAGGTAACTGAGTTTCTGTCTCTTGCTGCTTTTAAGATTCTCTCTTTGTCTTTTGCTCTTGGCATTTTAATTATGATGTGTCTTGGTGTGGTCCTCTTTGGATTCCTTTTGTTTGGGTTTCTCTGCGCTTCCTGGATCTGTAAGTCTGTTTCTTTCACCAGGTAGGGAAAGTTTTCTGTCATTATTTCTTCAACTAGGTTTTCAATATCTTGCTCTCTCTCATCTTCTGGCACCCCTATAATTCTGATGTTGGTACGCTTGAAGCTGTCCCAGAGGCTCCTTACACTATCTTCGTATTCTTTTTTCATTTTGCTTTTCTGGTTGGGTGTTTTTTGCTTCTTCGCATTTCAAATCTTTGACTTGATTCTTGCGCTCCTCTGGTCTGCTGTTGGGAGTCTGTATAATATTCTTTATTTCAGTCAGTGTATGCTTAATTTCTAGTTGGTTCTTTATCACAAAATCGAGGGTCTCATTAGATTTCTCGAGGATCTCACTATATTTATTGGCGGTCTCACCAGTCTTTTCGAGGGCCTTACTAAGTTTATCGGTGGCTTCTAGACAGTTCTTGAGAGACCTTAAAAGTGTGGTTTTGAGCTCTGTATCCTCCATTTCTGTCAGTTGTGTCCTGTTTCTTTGTCTCCGCATTTCTTATTTTTTTTTCTAATTTATTTATTTATTTATTTATTTAAAATATATTTTGTTGATTTTTTACAGAGAGGAAGGGAGAGAGATAGAGAGTCAGAAACATCGATGAGAGAGAAACATCGATCAGCCGCCTCCTGCACATCCCCCACCGGGGATGTGCCGCAACCCAGGCACATGCCTCGACCGAATCGAACCTGGGACCCCTCAGTCCGCAGGCCGACGCTCCATCCACTGAGCCAAACCGGTTTGGCTCTCCGCATTTCTTATGCTTTCTTGGTGCACCCCCTTGTGGTCTTTGTGCGCCGTCTTTTTTGTGTAGTTTAAGCCTGATTGTTGTAGGTAATACTGGAGGGGGGGGGGGATTTGACCTCCAGGCCAACTGGCTGTGAGAATCAGCTGTGTCCTGCAATGGGGAGAACTTCTGTCCTCTAGGGAGGTGCTAATCTAGCCTTTGCCTAAGGATATCCC